CCGGCGAGGGCGATCCCCATGGCTGCGGAGAACCGACGCCTTGCTGTCCCCAGGGCGCGTACTGGGCGTGGCTACCGGGTGGATTCATCATCCCCGCTTGGTCCGCCGATGAGGCAGCCGCAGCCGCGCGCGCCGCATTGTCGCGGGCCTTCTTGGCGATGGCCCTGTTCCGCCGGTCGGCGGTGACAGCCTCGCGTCGCGAACTTCCGCCCTCCATTCGGCATTTGGCATGCCCGGTGGCTTGGACGGCGGCGCCCTCGGCTTCCTCTGCTTCGACTGGGCGATGGTGCCGGTCGCGGTTGCCGCCGCGCTGGGACGACGTACTTCTTCGGTGGCATGGCGGCCGACTGGAAGGCGAGCGGGAGGGAGTTTGGCGGGAGGAAGGAAGAGAATGGCGGGAGGAAGGCGAGCGGGAGGGAAGTGGGGGAAAAGCGGCAAGAAACGGCGGGAAGAGGCGCTCGACTCGCCGACAGGGCGGACCCACGCGCCCTTTTCGCTTGTGCCGGCTCCCCAGGCGCCCCCTAGGGCGCCGGGTTCGGCCTGGGTCCGCCGGCACCAGTTTTGGCCCGAGCCGGCGAAAAACGGGCTTCTGGAGGCGTGACTGGGCCGTTTTTTCGGCGTCGGCGCGGCAAAAACACCTGGGGAGGGCCTGTTGGGGCGCGGCTGGAGATACTCTAACATATGTATAAAATAAAACATTCTTGCTCAAAGAAAATATATGTATAAAACAGAGGGTTGAAAAACACATTAAAGCTTTAAGATGTGGTCGATATCCATCATTTTTATGTTGGCTTGATATGTGCAACCATCGACGAAATCAAAAATACAATTCCAAACTCCATCGTTTTTTCGCACTTTTTTTCCGAAAAGCTAAGAAAGGCCAGTGAAAAACCTAAAAGTCAAAAAAAAAGGAAATATGAAAACCGAATGAGCGCTCCTCAAGTAGTTGCTCTCCGAAGTAATTATTATTGAGATCAAAACAAGGAGGCTCCCGAAGGAGACCATGTATTTGTTTGTATGATTAATTATTATTTATATATCATGTAAAGTAATTGTGGTGCAGTAATGTGTACTAATAAGTTCTACTTTCTTCGTTCCACAATATAAGACGTTTACAAATCATAGTGTGGATTTTGTACCAACACAGAGCAGGTACATCACCCAATTCTATACTTGAGATTTGTGCTTCACTTTACTGAGCAGGTATATGAGTAAGGGCTTTTGGAGGCCGAGCTCCGCGGAGCTTGTTTTCAAAATACGAATTTCCACTTTGTGAAATTTTTTGTATACACTCACACATATTTATTGCGTATGTGCAAAGATTCATAGCCACAGAAAAAAGACAAAAATGTATTTCTAAAATGGGCCGATATTTTTGTTGTTGGGCCGGAAATTTGTTCTTTTTGTACAGTCTACAAATCACAAAATTTTCAAATGATTTTTTCACACATGTGTATGGAAATCATATCAGTTTCATGGAATTTTTTTAATTTTTTTAAACTTCAAAATATGACTTTTGATTCTTTCCAAAATACCGAGCTCCGTGGAGCTCGGCCTTCGTTGGCCTTCGTTGGCCTTCGTTGGCATTTTCCGGCAGGTACATGGTCTATATGCACCACCTATTCTATACTTGAGATCTGTGCTTCACTTTACCGAGCAGGTACATGGCCTATATAAACCACATGCACACAGATCATGCACATTTCTTATAGGTGTTTTTTTTAGAAAAAATCTTGAACATTTTTTATTTTCAAACTTGTTAAAAATTCAAAAATAATTTTAAAATCTGGGACACTTTTTTAACTGACAATTTTTAAACTACATGAATATTTTAAACGTTTTCTAAATTCAAGGGGTTTATTAAAATTTCTGCACATTTTTTTAAAATCATTATTTGTTTTTCAAATTTTTAGAAATGTAGAAACATTAAATTAGCCAACATTTTTTAGAAAGTTGTGAACAATTTTAAAATTCCATTAAAAATTAAAATCGACATTTTTTGGAAAATCTGGAACTTTTTATTTAATATGTGAACAATGTTTTAAAACTTCCACAATAGCTACTTTTGGAAAGAAAACCTTGCTCTAAACCTGTCATCCTAGCATCGTAGCCAGATTAAATTGAATAATAATCAGACCAGTGTGTGTTTGTTCACTCACAACTCGCTACAGGCAAAGATGGTGACCTCATACAACCTAGTACATGCATAGTTTTTTCAAGAAACAAGGACCCGGCCGAGTTTCGGGCTAAGCTCTACAAAATGCCAAGCCAGGTCTGGGATATTTTTAGCCGAGTAACATGGTAAACAATTATTCCATATTTAAATACAAAATGAATCATCACAGGACAAATTAATGATCCATTACAACTGTGTTTCTAAAAACACAAAATCCCCATTTCACTCTTTCTTGAGGAGAAAGTTGAGGCCGAAGCTCATTGAAGATGCCATGCTTTAGGCGCGGAGCAAGTGGCCTCATATATTACCTAATACATTGATAGGTTTTGTTAGAAACAAGGACGGGGCCGAGTTTTGATCTAAAAATGTGAAGCCGGGCCTGACACCTGTCCAACCGAGCAACATGGTATAAGACAACTTTTGTATTTCAAACTACATAAATCATATTGTGGCAAATTAATGAATCATTACACCCTTTTTTAGGTCCAATGAATTATTACACCTATTTCTCTAAAAAACAATCCCTCATTTCACTCTTTTGGGTAGAAAAGCGAGGTCGAGCCCATCCCTAATGTCGGGCTTTCGGTCCGGGCTGCCCATGCCCAGCTTTACCGTGGGGCATGATACACCCTAAATTTCGGTGCTAAAGGTCTCATTCATAAAAATAAATAGAAAAGGTTGCTTTCCATCCAATACCTCCCTTCTTCAAGACAAAACCTAAACTTGTATTCATAATCGCATAAACATTCAATTGGTTATGCTCCTTTTTACATCACATGACGCAAAGAAAAATCCACGCCACACGAGGAAACCTCCCTTTTTTCTGTTCGAAAGGATGATAATAATCACATATAAAGAACCGGTCAAACGGAACCCGTACGATCCGAACCGGACCCGAACTTTCAATACCTTTTCTAAAACTCGTGGATTTTTCACATATGTTTTAAAAAAAACTCTTTTCCCTAAAATGAATGAAATGCATTATGAGCCGGCCTGGCCAGAGTGAAACATGAGCTCCTGCCAAACCAAACATATGTTGAAACATGAGCTAAGTGAGAAGATGTTCCTATTACTAGCATATATTGTAGGCACCAGTAGAGTAGGATTGATGCCTATCTACTTGTGATTTTACAGCCGTCGGGCGTTGGGTACTTGGGTGGGTAAATAATTGAAGAGGGAGGAGATACACACGGTAGAGCACTAGCGGTCACGTGCCTCGCTTCCTCTTCCGGCTCGCCGCGCCGCGTGCAGCAGCAGCTTTACCCTCCCCACCAATTGCCCAAAACGATCAACCCCAAGGACTGCTCCCACGCCGGGCCGGCCGCCGGCCGGGGTTGACACACCCACTCCGTTCCACTCCCCACGGCGGCGGCGGCGCCGGATGGACATGAACGGAGCTAACCAAGGTACGGCCGCTCCATGGTTCCGGCCGGGCAAGCCTCTCTTCGTCCTGCTGGTCAGCAAGAAACGCCTCTCTTTTTTCTTCTCTTTCGATTTTTCTCACGGCTGTCTGCTTGCTCGCGCTGGCACACCGGCTGTCAGGCTGCGGCGAGGACTGCGACGCGGAGGGCTGCGAGCGCGGGGCGGACGGCTGCCAGGAATGCGAGTGGTGGAGGCTGCACTGCTACTGGAGCCACGCTGGCGACCACCCGAGGCAGTTCTCCCTCGTCGCCGGCGACGATTTCGCGGACCATATGGTACGGGTTCAATGTCGCTTCCTTCCTCCCTCCCTTCCGATGTCTGTCTGTCTGTACTCTGTCGTCATGAGAATAGTGTTGGTTGGGGTAATGGTCAGAATCTCGCTGAAAAATAATGTTTGGTTTCGTTCTAGCCTTGGTGCCTGATGCTCTTCATTCTTGGCAAAGTTCAGATTTATGAGTCCATTAATATCAGGGAGACGGGCATTATTTCCTTTCTCTGGGATTTCAGCTCACGGGTTAAACATCTTTAAGTTCAGTTCACATACAGAAACTAGTATTTTACCTGCAATGTACTGTAGATGGCAAATATGGCGCCCCCAAAATTTGTCTGATCCTAATAAAGAGTTTCTTCTTGATATGTCCAATGTGTCCAGATTCCTGAAGCCCCAAAATTTTACCAGATATATTGTTTGAACTAGTAGAATCTAAGGCTGAACTGAACCAGGGACATGTTACCCATATTTTCTTGCAAAAAAGTATTCACATTTTTGATAGGACTATAGAGTAGTGGAGATATCCAAGTATTTGACCTCTGAATGTGTAAGATAATTGATTGTCAAGGTTAGATTGTTATTCCTGTGCTTGAGATAAATCAAGCTAAGCAAGATCCACTTGCCACTTAAGATCATTGCTCTCAGCTTTCTGCACCATCAAAGTGTTCATTCTACAGTAATCCTGCAACCTGAATTCTTTCTGTCTGAATTTCCCACAACCAGTGAAACATATGTCTCTAAATAACCAAGTGTACATTTCTTCTCCTTGGACAGCGCATACGACCGCCGGTTGCAAGCCATCTGAGAAACTTGATCTCTGAGTTCGAGGAGATCCAACTTGAAGCTCCTGATGGCCGTGTGTACCCTGTTAAAATCGGTTGGGAGTTTGGTGACATTGTTCTTAGGTCTGGATGGCACGACTTTGTCAAGGTGCATCACATAGAACAAAACTCCTCCATCCGGTTTGTGTACCGTGGGAACTCCAGCTTCGAGGTTCACATATCCGATTCACCCGGTCACGGCAACTCTTCTCCACCACCTCCTCGTGATTGTCATGTGCCGAATGGTGAAGTCAATTAGGACCTTCAAGTCGTCGAGTGCTTTTGGTAACGCTTTTCTGATGGTTACCGCATGCAAGACATGATATATGTTGTTGGCGCAAGCAAGCATGGTGACGATCAAGTAATCCTCCAATCTAAGTTGAGTCATTTTGTAGATGGTCACCGCATGCAAGACAACGACCTCCTCGTCTTTAGAAGCAAGGGGAAAGCCCAGCTCGAAGTTCTTGTCCTTGACCCGAGCGGTTGTGAGAAAACCTGGTTTGACACGGGAAACTCTTCAAACGTTTCCAGAGAAGGCCGTCGTGCACACGCTCAGAACACGGCTTCAACATCCTTCGGTTGGGCTAAATCAGGTCAGAGCAATGCACAGCTGCCATATATGTGCATTCCTTCTCTTCATTTCACCACATTTTGGATGACTTTTGTGCTCATTGTGTGAACACCATAAGTAAGCATGGAATGTTTTTCAGGACTCCAAGCTCGCGAGTCGAATGAAGCAGGTTTACAAGCTCCTAGGTCCAACAACTACATATCAACCCAATCGACCCCTCTACATAGCCAACAGAAAGAGAAAGTCGAAGAGAGGGTTCGGGCAATTGGTTCCCAATTTCCTGTGTTTGTTAAAGTGGTTAGCTCCAGTGAGGTTGTTACCAAAACTTCTCTGGTGAGTTCAGATCGATACCACAACCAATACGTATAATCTGTAGTCGGTTTTTTGTTTTGTCACCCCACTACTTTTGCGATTGCGTTTTCAAACAGTCAAACTCACACGCACATAACCCATTTCTCACCTAAAAAACTTGCCACTGCAATTTTGAAGTAAAAAAATGCGCAGTTTTCTTCCTTTTTACCGGAGAAAGGCTTTCGCCCCGCTTCATATATAAAGCAATGAACTTTTCTTCCTTTTGCGGAATGAACCATTGATCCAAGGCTGATCGTCGTATCTGACACTCTTTCGCGCTCTTGGGCAGTACTTGGGCCCGGAGTATGCTTCGGCATGTCTCCTGACCCAGCCAGGACGTCTCCGCCTCCTGCTGGACGGCGACGACAGGGATTGGGACTGCATGTTGGGCTTGAGGAAATCTAACAAAACTTGGTGGATCGACAGAGCCTGGCCGAAATTCATCTCGGATGTCGGGCTGGAGGAAGATGACATCTGCCTCTTCGAACTGACGGACACGAGCAGTCTCACGATGAAGGTCCATGTGATCCGCAAGTCGGATATACCGGCGCCATGAGAGAGTTTGACTGAAGAATGGCCTGATGCTAGATAGAGCCTGTGTCTAACTGATGGACCCTACACTTTTGCTGACTCCTTGTGCTATTGTTGCTGATCCCTGTATTGCTGCTTGTTTAGCAGCCACCTCATGAACAACTACCTATAACTAACTAGTGA